GCAGCAGGAGTTCGATCCCCAGCTGGCCAGGGAGAAACCCACATGGTGAGGCAGACCTCTCCTGTCTTGCCTGCTGCTCCCCTCAGCAGTATATTTCAGTCAGTCTGCCTGTTCTGCTCCCCACTCTGTCTCTGGTGGATCCTTCTCAGCCCCCGTATCTCTGGCCTGTACCCCAGCTCTTATATGCATAAATAAATAAATCTTTAAAAAAAAAGTCTACAAACAATGTCAAAACTAACAATTCCATTCTAGTCACCCTCCACCCCTTACACCCACTTTTTGAAGTTAACTTCCATCTTTCTCCATATCTCCTAGCCCATTCTGTATTGCTGTTTTCTTTCCAATAAAGTTTATAAACCCAAAGGTAGGACATGCTTAATAAGTTCTCAAATCTTCCATAGTAACTAACTCAGTATTAGACTTAGTTCATGCCAGTAAATATTTCATGCCATAAGCATGGAAGTTGACCTTTATGATCAATCCCTTCTTGTACACCGTGCTTACAATAATACTTAACAATCACAATTCTACCATTAGCTTTTTTAGTATAATGATCCCTAAGACTCTCTAAAAAGAAACTCACATAAAATTTTTCATAAAAGCTCAATGATTTGAATTCAGAATTTGATTCAGAATTCCTGAATCCTATTAATGAAGCCCATACTTAATATACTATCATCATGAACACCTATCAAAAATCAGTTGTTCACTGCGTGCCAAGCACTATCCCCGATGCTTTACATAGGGTGGTCTATAGTTAGATCACATTTCCCAGCACTCCTGCAGCCACATGAAATCATGTAATGAAGTTCTCCCTAATGGAGTTTGAAAGGAAGTAACAAGTAGAACTTCTGAGCTGGCACAGTTAAGAGATGTGCCTCCTCCATTCTCCACACCTCCAACCAGCTGCAAGTAGCTGTGACAACTCGGAAAATGAAATGTTTTGGGGGATGGTGAAAAACAAGCTGGAAAGCGCCTTGGTAACCTAAATGACTTAAAGGAGTAAAATCACCCCAACATTTAGACTGGACTCCAAGGTAAAAATGAAGTGTCCATCTTGTTTGAACCATTGTTTGGGACAGATTATTACAACAGCTTAGATTATCTTAATTAATCCACAGAAATTGCCAGTTAATCACCTATGGAGCCCTATAAATTTGTTATTATTAACCTGATATTACAGGTCAAGAGACCGAGGCATTGAGAACTTAAGAAACATGCCTACTAACTACACTACTAAAAGCCAGACTCAAGCCAAGAAGTCTGGCTTCACATACAACAGAAACCATGCCCCATATCCCCAACAGCTATTCTATGAGTTATGCCACCCAGCGCCAGATTAACTTTTACAACCACTGCCCCATCTCAGCAACTTAGTGACTTGTCAATAGCGACTGTCCAATTCAATATAGTACACCAACATGTTCCAGCTCAAAAACTCTACAGAGGGACTCTTTCTAAACCATGATCAGAAATACCATCACATCATACCACAGCTACCAATAGGAGACAGGGCGACAGCAGTGTCAGAAGCGTTGAGCTTACACAGCAAAAGAAAAATCTGGTCTCTTTTCAACTTCTCTCATTTTGTGGTTCAACTATTAATATTTACTTTTACCCAATACAGAAATCTTGTTTCCCAAATTCTGATCACAGCCAAGAAGAAATGTTAGTTGAAAATATAGCAGATAGTCTAGAAAAGTTTAGGAAAAACTAAATGGAGGGGGGAGGGGAGAGGCGAGAAGGAGAGAAGGGGATAGATAAAAACCACATGGAGTTTTAGAGGTTGGAGGCTAGGCAAAGTTCAACACAGGACAAAGGTTAGAGATTCAGATCTAAGTAAGTAGCTCCCAATTCCAAAGCATGGCAGACAAATATTGACAGTAAAATGCTCAGAAAGAAGGAAACAATCTCAGTGCAAGCATTTGGTACCCTCTCTGTCTCAGGCACTCAGAACAACACACAGACCTTCAAGGAACTTATTGTCCATCTTATAGGGGAGAGCTGCATATAAATTTATGTACTTGCAAAATGACACACAACTAGTTTTATGTGCTTACTGTGCACTGGCCACTGTTCCAAGCTTATTATATGCTACATACAGTAACAAGTCTATTCCCCTGAGTTGATCTATTAATAGTTCAACTGTGAGTGAGGCACAGGAAGGTTTAAGTCATGTGTCTTGGGACACACTATTAGTAAATGACAAATTGAATTAGAAGCAGTCAGATTATAAGGGACCTCATGCCCTGAAGGGTTTGAACTTCACACTACGGTCAATGGTTCCCAACCAGGGCTGGTATGTCACAACAGGGTCCTTAGAGTGGGGAGAAAAGGACACCTCTACTGTCAACCATAACAACCTTTGTAAGCCTCTTTTACTATTGGGAGGGTGTCTTTATCCTGTGGTAATGGGGTAAACAGTAAAAAAATAGAGTACTGCGGTTGTACAGGCAATTTAGAGTCACTGAGCTCATGAGCAGAGAGCTCCAAAAATAATATTCAACAAGAGAGGAAATGTAGCTGAGTTTAGTCACTAGTTGGGAGGGTCCTAGTCCACTTCGCTCAAATGTAGAGAGCTACCTCAACAGATAGGCTCAATAACCTTTCATTCATGACTTTAAATGTAGACAATGTTTTGCCACTACAAATTCAAACATCTTGGCAGAATAATTAACACTTTAACACACTGGACAAACCACAACTTCTGCCTCCCCACTTTCTAAATAACTATATTCAGAAAGGTATTTTCTCCCTTTGTCCCACAGAGGTTTGGAAAATAAACCAAGAATACTGTTCACCACAATTTACCTGACCCTTTATTTTTTTTTCTCTCAAAACAACTATCCTGGTTTATAGCAGTAGAAAGTTTTGCCTACGCTACATCACGAGGCAGCAGAAAACATTTTACTTATTTCACAAACAAGGAAAACAGGACTCAGAGAGGGAAAACAACTTGCCCAGGGTAACTCAGTGAGTACAGAACTGTGACTTGAACCCTGGTTCCTGCCACCAAGACCCATGAGAAAGGCTTACAACCAGTGAGTGGTAAGCAGGTTACTTTTAGCTTGCTCACAAACATTTAATAGTTCTAAATATAAGAAATATAATAGCTTTGGGCCTCCTTGGTGGCACAAGGGGTTAAGTCTCAGCACTATCAAGCAAGCCACTGCAGCAGGAGTTCTATCCCAGGCCAGGGAACTGACCCACATGGCACAGCAGACCTCTCCTGTCTTGCCTGCTGCTCCCCTCAGCAGTGTATTTCAGTCAATCTGCCCTTTCTGCTCCCCACTCTGTCTCAGGTGAATCCTTACTCCCCTCCCCCTCACACCTCTGCCTACACCCTAGCTCTTCTATTTAAAATAAATAAATCTTTTAAAAAGGAAATTACATAATAGCTTCACAAATGTTATTGCTGGGACTAACTATTGATCCCAACACAAATATGGAAAACTGGGAAGGAGTATGCAAATGACTTCAGCAGGAGAATGATTACACGATTAACAGACGCAGGACATTAAGCAATGATCTCTTTCTTCCTAATTAATATACTTTCATTTCTTTTTCTTGTCTGATTGTTTTGGCGAGGCCCTCCGGCATTATGCTGAAAAGCAGTCACTACCGAAATAATTCTCACCTGATTCTAAACTTAACGTTACCTCTAAAGTCTCACCATTAAATATCCTCTAAAGTCTCACCATTAAATATCGTGGTCTTTGTAGATTTTTAGCAGATACACTAGTTTGGAGATTATGGGAATTCCTTCCCACTCCTACCCCTTCTCCATGCTGCCTTCCATTCCCTCCTTTCTCTTACTTTAGGTTCCTGCTTACATTCTCTGCACCTTAAAGTACTATCCTACTTTAGCTACTAAAGCACTCTGCCACTTAAAGTTGACGACATCCTGGGGGGCTCTATACCTACTTGCTGTTTCAGTTCCCTGAACCGAAATGTTTCTAAAGCTGGTAACTTTTCCAAAGAAAATCCCAAAACAAACATGTTTCTGTCATCTGCTGGTCCTTTCTTCTCTCCATGGATCAAATACACCCTTCAGGATCTTCCTGTCTTTAAAATGAAAGCTTGGGGGGGGGAGGAAAGAACAAAAATTATTCTAGATTCTTGTTAACTTTCCAATTTAGAACCTAGCTCCGAAAGCGCCTGCTTCAACAAGTAACTAAGAGAATCTCAAGGACTTGAGGGGAGTTTGGGGGCGCGCAGCTGCCTTCGGATGTCCTGAACGTCTACTCTTCTTTACTAAAAGGGAAAAAAGTAAAGAAAAGATGGAAAGAACATTGTGAGCAACCCAGGCAGCGCCAGGATCGAAAAACAAGCACCAGGCGGGGAAGTCAACCCTTCAGAGCCCAAGCCAGTCGAGAATGCTTCCCCACCAGTTTTTCTTTCAAAAACAAAAGGGCGCGCGGCCTCCGAGGCGGCCCCGCGGGGAGCGGCCCGGGCGTTGCATCAGCCGCGCCCGCGGGGACGGCGGAGCCCGAGGCGGTCGGGGCCCGGGACGGGGCGGGCCCCGCCGGGGCCTCGGGAACGGCGGCTCTTTTTAAAAATCTGTGACGACGGCCCCGAAAATTAAAGTTGCCGCCGGGCGCGCGGCCGCGAGTGTCCCCCGGGAGCCGGCGAAGTTCGCTCCATCCCCGCCGGGGCGCCCGGCCGAGCCCCGACTCCCCGCCGGGGGCTGCGGGGTGGGGTGGGGTGGGGTGGGGTGGTGTGGGGTGGGGCGGGGCGCGGCGGGGCGCGGCGGGCGCGCGGGCAGGACCCCCCGCCCCGGTCCCGCGGGGAGACGCCCGGGGCCGCCGCCCGCCCGAGCCCCGGCTCTGGGGTCCGGGCCCGCCCGGCGGCGGGAGGCGCGCGCCGAGACAATGGGCCGGGGGCGCGGCGCGGCTGCCTCGGCCCCGGGGCGGGCGCCGCGCGGGGGCGCTGCGGGGCGGCCGGGCGCGGGGGCGCCCCCGCCCGGGACCCCCGCCCCGCGCCGGACGGCGGCGGCTCACCTTGACGAACAGCTCGATGACGGGCTCTTTGTCCTCCTCCTTCAGCCCGTTCAGCGGCATCGACAGCGCCATGGCCGGCTCGGCTGCGGCTCCCGGCTGCTCGGGGCGGGCTCCCTCCGCGCGGCGCCTGCTGGACGGTCCCGGCGTCGAGCTCGCCTCGGCCTCGGCCCTCAGCACCGCCCACGCCCCGCGCGCGACTCCCAGGCGGCCGCCGCCCCCGCCGCTTCAAGCCTCGGGGCGGGGCCGGGGGCGGGGACGGGGCGGGGCCGAGCGGGGCGGGGCCAGCGGTGGTCTCGGGACTCTCCCGAGGGCCTGGGACGGCCGGGGCTCGGGGCGTGGCCTATGGTGGGGTGGGCGTGGTCTATGGTGGGTGGGCGTGGCCTGGGCGCGGGATGGGCGGGCCGACCGCTCCGAAGCCTGCAGGCAGCTAAGAGACGAGACCGGGTTCGAGGGCGTGGTCTTGCAGGGAAGGGGGGCTCCGAGGCTCTGGGGGGCGATGGCGGGACGCCCAGTCTCGCCTCCCGAGGGGGCGGGAGAGACATTCCCCGGGGACTGGAGCCTGACACCGCCTCCCACCGCAGCGCGGGCGCGTCCTGGCAGCTGCCGCTGGCGCGGAGCCAGGTGACCTCACGCCTTCCACAGGCCTGGGGAGACTACCAGGTGCCCCCCGCCTCCACCCGCGGGCCTCGGCGCCCCTTCCCGCAGCGGCCACCTCCCTGTTAGGCGGAGCTGTCTTTTCCAGGACAGCGTCTCGGAAAGTTTTCATCTGCTTAGGAACACCTTTTTTTTCCCCCTTTCCTCTGACTTACTCCTTTTTCCCTTTTCCTCTCTGATCACTTCACTCCGATCTTAGGAGCCAGCATATAAACGAGTGTTAATGAGAATCCGCTGTGTTCCAGGCTCTGGGCTAGACTTGTGTGATGAACAACACCCACAGGACCCCTCTCCTCCCAGAGTCTAGTTCTGGATTGCAACCCCAGTGTCTGCAGGCTGTGCGGTCGTCCAAGCCTTCATCTTGAAGTTACTAATGGGGCGACGCCCAGCATCAGAATCACCTAGATACACACCCAGGTTTATCTCATTTCCACATTCTCCTCCCTTTTAACAAGAACCAGAACGACATGGATAGAGATGGTCCTCAAATTGGGGAAACCACAATGGATTTTAAGCCCAGGGGGCAGGGGCTGTGAATCTTCGAGCTAGGCACAGGGTAGGCACCTGCTCCAGGTTTATTGCCATGAATGCCTGGGCCACATGCCACCCCCTCTGTTAACAGTTACTTATTTGTTCCCTTTCCTGACTCACTGCTACTCCTCCCTACTTCCCAGGTTAGGCAAACCCACGAAGAGCCAGGCATAGAGGATTAGTCTCCTTGTCCTAGTGCATTGCACATATCAGAAAGTTTGAACATGGGCCTCCCCTGGTGGCGCAGGCCGTTGAGCACAGCGCCATGAAGCTGTCAGCAGCCTCTGCAGCGCCAGTTCGATCCCGGCCAGTGGGTGAGGGTCCCACATGGTGTGGCAGACCTCTTCTGGGGCGCCAGCTGCTCCCCTCAGCAGTGTATTTCATCAGTCTGCCTGTCCTGTTACCCACTCTGTCTCTGGTGAATCCTCTCACCCTCCCGCGCATCTGGCATGTACCCCAGTTCTTGTATAAATAGATCTTTTTTTAAAAAAAAAAAAAGTAAAATAAAAAGAAATTTTGAACAAACATGAAAATACAGTGAAACATACAATTTCTTCCTCTCCCAGACCACAATGAGTTGCTCAGATGTTCCTGTAGGGACTCTGTTAAAGAAAGCATGTACCCCAGAGGTTAGGAGCATAGGCTGTGCAATCAGACTCTTTAAGTCCTGACCCCACAAGGCACTTACACCCCTGAGCTGGTTTCATTATCTAAAGGGGGTGGGGCACTACTGGTCCTCGCCCAGCTGCAAGTCCCACTCAGTCAGCAGAGGCTGTTCTCTAGATACTAGGCCTTGTACTGTCCCTGTTCACCCCTACAGCCAGGATGGAGCCATGTCAACTCCCTAGTGACCGGCTTGTTTGTGGAAAAGAAATAAACAGGCAGCAGGCTGCTCCCTAGATGGGGACTTGAAACAAAACCAAGCTGAAGTGTCTGACTGGACTCTGAACTGAACCCAATGTTAATTCTTCAGGGACTCACGAACTGAACCAAAGTCCCCTTCCAGCACCGACTTCCCCCACCTTCACCACCTGAAAAGGAACCAAAAAGGAGAACCAGTATAAAGCAGATCCAAGACTTAAAAAAATTTTTTTAAATAAATCAAATGAAACTCCAAAGTAGTTTCCAAGCTGGCTCTGAGGCAAAGAATATTTCAAAATGGCCCTGTTTTCTGAGGTGGACCTGAAAGTTTGTCAGATCCAATTTGAACCAGCAAGTATTCTCCGTTGTATCTGTTGCAGGTCTCACAGCACCAAGATGTGGCCTGGGATGAGGTGCAGGCCAGAGTTCTTTAGGCCTCAGTGACTGAACTACTGGTCTTAGGTGGGAGAAGGCCCCAGGGCATGCTCCTCCACAGAGCCTGGATGTAGGGCTGATCCAGGAGGCCAAACTAAGAGCCTTCTTTGAAAGCTGCCCACTGTCACGCCCAGCACTCCCAGATTTCCACCCCTGTAAGGCTCACTTGGAGGGGTAGAGCCTATCTGGAGATAATCAGGATGTATATGCAGGGAGCCTCCATAAACACATCTGGTTCAAGTCCCAACTGTGAAATGCAAGCATATTTTGCATTTTATACTTGTGTCTGTTTTTATAACACACAAATCCTCTTTCCCCTCTCTCCCCAACACCCTTCTGACCTCGTGGGTTACTGCTTGATCCTTTGCCCTCCACCCCAACCCACTGTCCTCCTTACTGTTCCTTGAAGGAGTCAAGCACATTCTGCCTCAGGGCCTTTGTCCTTGCTCTTGTCCTTGCTCTTGCCTCAATAAACCAGTCTTCCCTGTAGGTCTTTGCTCAAATGCTACCTTCTCAGAGAAATCTCCCCCATACCACCCCATCCAAGCCAGCAAGCTGTCCTCTTGCATCCAACCCTCCACTTTATTTCTCTGTATAGCATGTATCGCCCTCTTATTGACACATGTCAATATATTATATATTTTATGTAATTATATACCATACTTGTTCATTTGTATATTGTCTATTCCCGCTCTCCACCTCCCCTTATCCAGAGTCTGTGCACCAGGAGGGCAGGAATTTCTGTTTGATTTGATACATGTCCATATTCCCAAGTCATAGAACAGCTCATGGTAAACAACGAAAGCTTGATGAGGGAATGAGTGGATGTGCCTTGTTTACACTAAATGTACCCTGTATCCCTGACAGACCCTTTGGAGGGTTCCAGGCTGAGAAGCTAGGGGTTTGTGTATGTTTACAATGGAAACATCATAGGGACTTGAGTTTTCCAAAGGACAAGATGACACCTTCAGGGAGCCTCCCCAATGACATCCTTCCCTCCAACCTCCCCTGTTGCTGGGTGCTGCTGTCTCAAATGTGCCTTCTGCAACTTAGACAGTAGAGTAAGGTGCTATGTGCACGGACTCGGGCCAGCCGCCTGCACTCTGAAAGTGCCTCTCTTATTTACTAGCTCAGAATAATATATTGAACCTTACTGTGCTTCAGTTTGTCATCTATAAAATAGGTCAAAATATAGTACCTTTTTAATAAGATAACTGATAAATTACGTTTGCCTTGAGTGCTTGGCATATGGTGCCTGGCACATACTAAGTGCTCTGTAGGGACTAACGGTTGGCATTATATTCACCTGTCCATAATCTTGACTGCTGTAGTCCAGACACCTTGCTGGGTGTTTTCAGATCTAATGACATTTATTCCTCATGGTGCTTCGGAGGAATCATTTTCATTGTCCCCATTTTACAATTAAGGAAACTGAGGGTCGGGGGAGATAAAAATAATCATTCTGCTGGGAAGATGGTGGAGCAGAGAGTCTAACTCACAACTGTCTCTTCGTGATGCTATGGGAAAAGCCAGGCTCCTATTCATCCTGCAAGGCTCAGCTCAAATATCCCCCCATGCCAAGGAGCTTCCAGGAGCCAATGGATTAATCTGGATTCCACAGTGCCTGTCGAGGACATCAGGGATTAATCTGGATTCCACAGTGCCCGTCGAGGACATTAGGGCTGTGGTGTAGTCACTACCGAGGTGACTTCCCTAGCAAACTGCCTGATTTTGAAACCAAACTTGGTCAAGTTACTTAGACAAGTTTTCTCATCACTACCAAAGGAATATACCTAACTCATGAAGCTACTAGAAGGATTAAAAAAGATAATCCATGTAAAACATACAATTGTAGCATTTAATAAACCCTAGCTATTTTTTCTATTCATACCAATGTCTTTTTCTTCCTTGGTATCCTTGGTGTACAAGAAACATTGTCATTTATAGCTTGAATAAAATATTTAACTTCTCTTCTGTGTGCCTTTGGCAAGTTACTCTTTATACTATTGTATTCTCATGTAATATGGTATACTAATTACAGTACCTGACTCACAGGGTTGATATGGAGATTGAACAGGTTAATAAAGGTAAAGGCACGGAACACAATGCCTGGCATATTCTAAGTAGTTGATAACTCAATCAATGTGAGTTGTTACTATACTCTTCCATGCCTAACTATATGCCAGGCACTGGCATATAGTAAGATGATAATCAAATTGAATAAAAGAATAAAAAAATTTCAAAATTACCTTTTAATCTCCCATCTTGTAAATTTTATTCTGTTGTTTTGCTTACTGCATATATAATAGGTGTGTATTTAATCTTTGGTGATGCCAGATAACCCAGCTATGGAAAACCCCCTAAGGCAGCTTTGAATTTCAACTGCATCCCCATTGTGTGAATTACTCCTATAAAATTCTGCTCATTGTGACTTTGCCATATTTTGGCTAAATTTTATTTTTTTAATTTTTTTATTTCTTTTTAAAGATTTATTTATTTATTTATTTATACAAGCACTGGGTACAGTCAGAAGCGCGGGAGGGTGAGAGAATTCACCAGAGCCAGAGCGGGGAGCAGAGCAGGCAGAAGGACCGAAGTACACTGCTGAGGGGAGCAGCAGGCGGCAGGAGAGGTCTGCGCGCCATGTGGGACCCTCCTCT